CTGGTCTCCTCTTTATTACTAATATTATTTGTGCACCATGTTTCCTGCCTGAGGGATCTTGCCACAGGTTTGCCAATTTCATTAGATTTAAGGAACTCACTTTTGGCTTTGCAACCCTGTAATTTCTTTATTATCCAGTCCAGGGGCTTCTTTTATTTGTTTTAAATTACCCCTGGACTTCTCCTGTTGGTTAGCCTGTCTTTTATTCTATTCCTTATGCTCTCTGTCAGTTTCCTCTGACATAATTTTTCTCACTTCTTGACTTAAACATGACATTCTCTGTTCTATTTGTACTAAATCCAGAAAGGACTAGTCATTTCCCTCCAGGTACAAGTCACCATCTCCCTGTGAATATTAGTAGGTGGTATTTTCACCATTGTGAGTTATATATACATTTAATTGGCATTCTTTCCAAATATAGGAGGGCTTGTGCCCATTTTTGATATAAGTGTGAGAAAGGTTAAAATAACAATGTAGCCTGTTGTTTTCTAATACAAGGCAACTGTAAGCGACCTCTAAGAACAGAAATTAAGGCTCAGTATTTACCGAGGATGTAAACAAAGGCAGAGAAATAAAACGTCCAGCGTCAGTAACAAAAGATGGTTCACAGGACACCACTCATAAACTCAGACAGTGAACTTGTGGGCACGTGGCTCTGTCACATGGTGTTCAGCTGTGACCTGCTCCTATTCAACGTCTATCAAAGTCATATGTGACCATATAACTGCAAGTAATATGACCTTCCCAATCCATGCAACTGATCAACCACACACACACTCACACACACACTCACACACAAACGCATACAGGCACGTATGCCCACACACATACAGAAAATGATGCATGGGCACCCATGGAGGGAGGCCCTAGGAGGACCCGGGGCAGGGAGACCAGCCTGGGGCTGAAAACTCAGTCCTGGGTGGCAGTGTGCCTGCGGGACCCTGGGCTTCCAGCCTTCTTCCCCAGCCTGCCCTGGACCAGGGGAGGCAGCCAGGCCACTGTACCTGGCGCTGCTTCTGGGAAAACTGATCTCCCCTGAGCAATCCACCTACCAACCAGGACGCTGGGAATGTCCCACAGGGAGGCGGCTGCACCTCCAGCTGCAGGGCCTGTGCAGTCGGAGCCCAGCAGGCAAAGCCTAGGGAGCCCAGGTGATGCCAGTCAAGATGCCTACCCATTAGAACACGGTGGGGACCAGGGGGCCAGGGTCTCCCGGGGGAGGGAGAGTGGAGAGTGGAGAGCAAGCAGGAGGCTGGAGGGGATGGTGGAGGTGGAGCCCCGACAGACTTGGAGCCCCGACAGCCTGGGTGTCACAGGCTGACACCCGGGTCTAGGACAGAGGGCCTGGCTGTGGGAGGACAGCCACCAGGAGAGGCGCCAGGGAGCAACGCACAGAACTCGAGGGCCTTGGTCAGAGCCCCGGCGGGCACTGGGGAGTGGGCGCTGCCTGGAAGCCGGTCACAGGCGCTGCCCTCGGCGAGGAGCAAGGCCGTCCTGTGGACACAAAGCTGCGCTGTGGCTTTTGTCCCTCTGAGCCGTCAGGCAGAGTGAGTGAGGTCAGTGTCATTGTCAGTGTGGTCACAGGTGTCCCATGGTTAGTGGGGTCCGAATGGGACAGCCAGTGACATGAATGAGGGCCTCCAGGAGCCATCCCTGCCCTGGGTCCAACACCACCATTATGACATGTGAGGACCCGTGGACGCTGGCACAATGCTGCCCCCTCAGCACCCCCACCCCGCCCTCGTTGGTCCAGCCTCCACTGCAGTGTTGCAAAATGGGGCTGTTAGGTAACAGAAGCTGTGCCCTTTGCCCACCTGCCCTCAGCCTTCCCCTATCAGGGCTCAGACATCCTCATCACAGCCCCGGCTTTGATCCTGACCCTGATGCCCACCCAGACCCACCCTCACTCTGTGCATCCGTTCCTGTCACTCAGACCCCGCACCCTGGGGACCCCAATGGCGGCCTGAGGACCTAAGGACTCCTGCTCAGAGCAGCAATGCAGGGACTGCCCCCCTCCCTCCCACACATAGCTGCGGGCCTGAATGCCCACGTGCACTTTATCTCAGCATCCCCTCTTCTTATCTCTTTTGTTAATCCTCACCCGAGGGTATTTTTTTCCATTGATTTTTGAAGAGAGTGGAAGGGAAGGGGAGAGAGAGGAGAGAGAAAAGCATCAGTGTGAGAGGCATATTAATTGGTTGCCTCCTGCAGGCCCCCAACCCGGGGCTGGGGATCAAACCTGCAACCCAAGCACATGCCCTTGAATGGGAATCAAACCCAGGCCTCTTCGCTCTGCGGTCCGACACCCCAACCACTGAGCCAAACCAGCCAGCGCCCCCTCTTCTTTTAAAATTTATTTGCAGATACACACCACGTCATAAATATAGAGATCATGACAGCTTTGTGTTTTTCCTTATTAATTTTATTCCCACCCATCAACCCTCTCCCCTTGGGCCACCACCCATTTCTTCTCTGTACCTATGGGTCTGTTTTGTTTTCTTTGTTCGTTTGCTTTGTGTGTTTTTTTTAGATTCCACATATGAGTTGCTCATTTCTCAACATCTTTGCAAACATGTGGTTTTATTGCACTTTTTCATTTTCTCCAACCTGGTGAGTGTGACGCTGCCTGTCCTTTATCTCCCTCCGTTTTCCTCTGATTATGAAGGAGGCCCGTCAGTGCTTATGGCCACTCAGGGGTGTCTGGAGAATGGCATGCAGTGTGTTTTCCCATTAGTGCTTTGTTTCCTCTGTCCCACACCATTCCTCCGAATTAGTATTTCTTCTTCCTGGAATAAATCCTTAAGTAGCTCTGTTAATCAGTGCCTGTGGGTGATAAGACACTCTGTGTGTCTTCTGTTTGTAACATCACTCTTTTTCCCCTCAACATTGTGTGTCAGTTTACCTGGGAAATAAATTTTATGTTGATGGTGATGTTTCCTCATCATTTCCAAGGAATTGCTCCAGGGTCTCCTTCCACCTCCTGTTGATCATCAGAAATCCCCTGTGTCTGACGTCATTTCTTTTTAGGTTAAACTCTCTCTTGTCTCTGCTGGCTTCTAATGGTGACAATTTGCAGTTTTACCAAAATGGATTTAGGTATAGAATTTATTTGTGTTTATTCTGCTGAATTTCACAGGGCACTTTCCACTGGAGGTTCACAATTTTTCTTTGATTCTAGAAATTTCTCAGATATTTATGTGCAAATACTACGTTTTCATTTTTCCAAACAGTTTTTTAAGTTCCTAACAAGGGGATCTCAGTCTCTAATAAAACTCTGAAGTTGGAGGCTCTCAGAACATCTAACAAGAAGCACTTCCATGTTTTATGGGGTTTTTCATGATTCCTCTGTTGCTGAGTTGCTGATGTTGAAATCAAACAAGCCAACACTCAAGCTCACTTTGTGAATGGACCTCCACCCCCCAAATCCCTTCCAAGCTCACACCTCTGTCCCCACCACCTCTGTCCCCACCAACTCTCTCCCCACCACCTCTGTCCCCAGCACCTCTGTCCCCACCTCCTCTGTCCCCACCACCTTCCCCCCCCCCTCTCCCCCCCACCTCTCTCCCCACCACCTCTCTCCCCACCACGTCTGTACCTACCTCCTCTGTCCCCACCACCTCTGACCCCTCCACCTCTGTCCCTACCTCCTCTGTCCCCACCACCTCTGTCCCCACCTCCTCTGTCCCCACCTCCTCTGTCCCCACCTCCTCTGTCCCCACCACCTCTGTCCCCACCTCCTCTGTCCCCACCACCTCTGTGCCCACCTCCTCTGTCCCTCTGCCTGGATCCCCTCCCCCCTAATGCCCACCCTTACTTGTGCTTCGTGAGCTGGGCCTGGCAGCTCAGAAAAACCACCTCTGTCCCAACCACCTCTGTCCCCACCACCTCTGTCCCCACCTCCTCCATCCCCACCTCCTCTGTCCCCACCTCCACTGTCCCCGCCTACTCTGTCACCACCACCTCTGTCCCACCTCCTCTTTCCCCGTCTCCTCTGTTCCACCACCTCAGTCCCTCTGTCTGGAGTCCCTCCCCCCTAATGCCCACCGTTGCTTGTGCTTCATGAGCTGGGCCTGGCAGCTCAGCCTCCTGAAACCCTCCCAGCAGGTCCAGGCTGGATGGACACGCCCTGTGTCACCCCAGCTCTGTGTTCAGCACTCACCTCCACACCGTGTCCCACACTCACTGCGGTGCTGTGGTTATGTCTGTCCTCAACTCCCTGTGGGTTTCAGGGGCCCAACAATCTACTCAGTGACTCCTTGCCCTCAAGACTTTGTCCATGTTGGGCACATGTGATCAAGGATAATTAAGGGAGGGAGGGCGGGGAGGATGGACAAAACACGTATGAAACAAGAGAGAGAGAAGAACAAAGAAGAGCAGAAAAGGAAAATAAGCAGAAGAAGGAGGGAGGGAGGAAGACAGGAAGAGGAAGTGGAGGGGTGGAGGGAGGGACACTGGGACAAGCATAATCCGCATGAGCTCCCAGAAATGCCATCACAGGGAACTGAGCCCTGGAAACCTCCTCACTCCCAAACACGGAGACCTGGGACCCTGGAATCTCAGAGAGGCCCCCACTGCGCCCTCAGTCACCGCCATGATGAGTCCATGCCCCCATGAGGGCAGGAGGCTCTTGACACAGCGGGGGGTGAAAGAAAGGGTGAGGTGGGAGGATGAGGCTGGAGTTGGGTGTCAACAAGGAAGATTGAGGGTCTCCCCATCATGGGAACCCTGCCTTGCCTCATCTATGATCCAGGGCACAGAGGGACATACTTCCGGATCCAAGAAATGTAGCTCATCACCCGGGCATACACCCCTGGGAAATCGCGATGACCACAGCTGTATCCCCAGCTCACGATCCCTACCTGGACCCAGATGCCTTCCCAGCTGCACACCAGGGGGCCCCCGGAGTCACCCTGTGGGGAGAGGCAGGACTCAGTGAACATCTCCACATGGGCCACTGCATGGAGCTTCTGAGTCCCGATTCCCCCGGGCCAGGAGGGGACAGAGGACAGAGGACGGGGCAGGTGGGGCTCACCTGGCAGGAGTCTTGGCCCTCACTCCCAGCGCACAGCATGTCATCCTTAATGATCTGGCCAGTGTTGGTGGAAGAGTTCTGGTAGCACTGGTTACAGACCTCGTTCCCCACAATGGGAACCATCACCTCCTGCAGCTGGTAGGGCCAGAGCCGCAGAGCTGTGGGGAGGCGCTGGTTCAGAACCACGGCTGGTCCAGGCTTCTGCTCCTTCCCAACAACAAGGCACTGTTTCCAGTCCTTCTGGGCCCTGACTGTTGGGTGTAGAACAGTTACACCTGCCCTGGGACTGAGCTTCCAGCATCCACTACACCCATTCAGTTCTTGGACGCAGCACTTCATCAGCCACAGGCTGGGCTCCACAGGCCTAAGGACGGGCACTGAGGAGAGAGTTACCCCAGGATTGTTCTCCTTGAAAAGGAAGGGATCAGCCTCATCCCAGAGAAATGCATCACAGCAGGAAGGAAGCACTTCTGCGCTGATGGGTTGGGTTTTCATTCTGATTTAGGAACCTGCCTCTCGCTCCCAGACTGACTCATCCTCAGGAGGACAATCAAGGTCCACCCACCACCACGGGGCGAGGGGAGGACACAGGCAGAGCCACAGGAGGGCCTGTCGCCTGGCAGAGCAAACACCTGTGTCCTCAGTGTCCGTGAATCTGATCATGAAACCCCAGCTCTGCACACATGTAGGCTCAACAGGAAATCCCCCCTCTAGTAACCAAATGTAGAATTAGCACATGGCCCAGAACTTCCACTCCTAGGCTGTACCCCAAAAAACGAAAAACAGGGATCCAAGATGGAGACAGAGTAGGTGGAAGTGACACTCACCTCCTCCCAGGACCAAATCGGGATCACAACTAAATTATAGACACTCAACCTGAATAACCAACTGAAGACTGGCTGAAAAGAAGTTCCTTCATTAAGGACACATGGAAGAAGCCACATGGAGAGGGTAGGGAGGGTGGAGACACAGAAAGGGCTGCATTGAGAGTTAGGAGGGACACCTCAGCTTCAAAGGTCCCCTTTGAGAAGGGAGGGGTCTCCACCCCATCCTGAGTTCCCAGCCTGGAACACCAGTGCCTGGAAGAGGAGCTACACAACATCTGGCTGTGACCATCAGTGGGGACTGTACTTGGCAGAGTGAGACAGAAAACTTCCAGGCACCCAGACGCCCTTTTAAAGGGTCAGTGCACAAACAGCTCATTGGCAGGTACTCAACCTGACTATGTTCCAGAGGAGCGACAGCGTCCAGAGTGGACAGGAGTCACACAGGGAGAGATTGGTTGTATGACCTTGGGAGAGAGGGCTGGAGGGGCAGCCTCCATTATCCAGGGCTGAGTCCTCTCCCACATGCCCATGGATGCCATCTTTTCTGAGTTGAACATCCCCTCCATAGGGCATCAGCCCGGGGGAATGAACGTGCCCCCCCCTCACCCCCGCCCAATCCAGGCTGCCAGTTGGCTCACCCGACCAAGCTCATGCCCTGCAGGGGAGTCTGCCAGCTGCAACCAGCCTGGGCCCACCCAGTCTTTCTCAGAAGCACTAAAGGAGGTCTGAGCAGACTCCAGGCTGTTGGAGACACACAGGGAGAGACTGAGTTGTGTGTGTCTGAGGCGAGGGCCATTTCTCCAGGCACCTGACTAGCTCCACTGTGAACAGCCCTCCCTCCTCACTACCAAATCCTAATCTGTGTGATCCTGATGAACTCTACTGGCCTCACCCTGACGACTCCGAGAAACCCTATCCTACTGCAAAGATTTGAAGACCTCAGGTGGTTGTTGGGTGGTGGTGTTGGTTGGCCTTGGTGTGCCCTGAGACTTTTATTGAGTGGTGTCACACCCAGCACTGGCGCTGAGTTTGAATCTGTAACAACCTGATGAACACCGCTCACCACAACCCAGTGACTCATTGAGAATCTACCTCATGAAACTCAACTACCACAGCAGGGCTCACCTCACCACAAAAGGGACATACCTGGGGCACCTAGCTTAGCTGGAGGCTGGATCAGTGGCTGAGCCTAATGGCAACTGGCAGGCAGAGGCAGATTTTGGGGTGCTTTGGACCTATTGTGTCCTGACACAGGTTTGGTATTGCTGGGAATCACATCAGTATACAGTTTGGCCCCTCCCATGAGCACCCAGACCTACCGGAGGGAGCCACCAACTGTGGCGCACTTTGTAGCTTCTAATAGGCAGCCCAGGATAGGTCACAGGCAGTGTCTGACCTTGACCTGCACCACAGTGCCTCCCTGGAGGCCCCTGAAGCAGAGTTCAACCAATTAGCTCCACAAGCGGCACACTCAAAGGGAGATCTCTGCAGGCACCAGACCCTGCTGGGGCAAATTCTGCTTCATGGGGTCAGCCTACTCACAGCAGATCATACAATCTGATCAGGGTCAATAGTCAGTCAGCTTGAGGGTCAACCCTGCCTACCACAGGCCAACAACAGCAAATGAATAAACAAGAAAAAGAAACAAACCAAAACTCATAGATACAGATAACAGTGTGGTGGTCACCAGAGGACAGGGGGTGGGGTAGGAGGAAAGGCTAAAGGGGGCAATACAGGTGACAGAAGATGTGACTTTGGGTGATGGGCACACAATGCAAGGTACAGATGATGTACCATCGAACTGCACACTGAAAACCTCTATAATCTTGTTAACCAATGTCATCACAATAAATTGTAGAAAATGAGATATAAATAGCAAAGAATAAGGACATACAGAAAGCCAACAGACATATGCAAAGATGCCCAGTGTCACTAATCAGTAAAGAAATTGTTTCTATCTCTTTATCAGTAAATTAAAACCACACTGAGATCTCACCTCCCACCTGTCAGAACGGCTGTCATCAATATATCAACAAGCAACAAGTTTTGGTGAAGATGTGGACAAGGGGGAGCCCTCACACGCTGCTGGTGGGAATGCAGACTGGTGCAGCCCTGTGGGAGACAGTGTGGAGGTTCCTCAAAAAATTAAAAATGGAACTGCCTTATGACCCAACCATTCTACTTCTGGATGTACATCTGAAGAAACCCAAAACATAATTGGAAAGAGCATATGCACCCCGATGTTCATTGCAGCGTATGTACAATAGCCAAGATGTGGAAGCAGCCCGAGTGCCCATCAATAGACAAGTGATAACAATATGGTGCTACAAAGAAGATGGAGCAAAAGTAGGCTTACGGTTATGAGTAGGCAAAACATAGGGGGCATGCAAGAGGTAGCCTATCAATGATTCTCCATCATCGTTCATGTTTCTATCTCTTTATCCCTCTCCCTTCCTCTCTGAAATCAATAAAAATATATTTAAATATATATATTCTAGAGACCCGTTGCAGGAAGATTCCTGCAAGAATAGGGCTTCCTGTGGCCGGAGTGAAGCAGAGAAAGGAGCAAAACCCGCCGAGGGAGGAGTCACTCCCACCTCCGCCACCCACTTGCTTCCCTCCCGTCTCCGCCGCCCTGCTTGCTTCTCCGCAGCTTCACTCTCTTCTGCAGTGCTTTGCTTCCTTCTACATTGTCTTCTGTCTTCGCTCCATGCCTGCATATGCAAATTAACCACCATCTTTGTTGGGTTAATTTACATATCGCTCTGATTGGCTGGTGGGTGTAGCAGAGGGATGGTCAATTTGCATGTTTTTCTTTTTTTTGGCCACTTAGGCTTATATATATATAGACTAGAGGCCCGGTGCACAAAAATTTGTGCACTGGTGGGGGGGTCCCTCAGCCTGGCCTATACCCCCTTGCAGTCTGGGACCCCTCGGAGGATGTCCACCTGCTGGCTTAGGCCCGCTCCCTGTGGGGATCGGGCCTAAGCTGGCAGTCAGAGATCCCTCTGGCAGCCTGGCAGCCCTCGGGGGATGTCCACTTAGCAGCTGGGAGCAGGCCTAAGCTGCAGTCGGACATCCTTAGTGCTACTGAGGAGGCGGGAGAGGCTCCCACCACCACCGCTGTGCTGGCAGCCATCAGCCTGGCTTGTGGCTGAGCAGAACTCCCCCTGTGGGAGCCCACTGACCACCAGGGGGAAGCTCCTGCATTGAGTGTCTGACCCTGGTGGTCAGTGTGTGTCATAGTGACCAGTCATTCCCAGTCGTTCTGCTGTTAGGGTCAATTTGCCCAATACCCTTTTATTATATAGGATACCACTACATTCACTGCAGCATTGTTTACAGTGGCCAAGATCGAAACAGCGGAAGTGTTCTTTGCTAGATGATTGGATAAAGGTGTGAAACAAGTTTACAATGGAATACTCCTCAGCCATCAGAAAACATGACATACAGCCATTTAGGACAACATGGATGGATCTTGAGAACATCATGCAAATTAAATAAGTCAAACAGAAAAAGTTAAAAACCATATGATTTCACTCACATGTGGAATATAAAACTGAAAGCAACAAATGAACAAACAAGAAAAAGAAACAAACCAAAACTCATAGATACAGATAACAGCATGGTGGTCACCAGAGGACAGGGGGTGGGGCGGGAGGTAAGGGCAGAGGGGTC